GCATCATTCGCCGCTTTCGCTTTCGAAACCCATTGAAGTAGTTCAAAGGACCAAATATTCGTGATTGGCATGAGCGAAGCGATGCAGAGAGAACTTCCACTTCACATAAGGATCGATAGAACGACAGCTTTTTTGGTAATTCGCAAGAACAACTGATTCCATTTTGAGAAAAAGTGGTTGGTGGCAGCAGACTTCCCCGAACAAGTGCTGAGAAAAGGTTCCATGAGCACCACTCGACTCGTCTTTTAAGAAGACATTATTCACTGCTATACAAGCGCGCGCCTAGGACAGGTAGTGCAGTGAAACAAAGGCTGATAAGGGTATGCCACACCTAAATGGAGTCGCAGAAGGCTGATCAGGTAAAGCAGATAAATAGCGCCATTGAGCCGGGAGGAAGTGACGTTTTCTTGAAATCACATCATCTTCATCACCACGCACTTCACCCAGTCCCCCAAAGCGCCCCTTCAGAAGGTAGTACGACACATCCCTGAAATAACAGCATTCCCATAAGTAGACACGTCCTCTACGCCACCAGGTGCCATGAAAGACCTCGTGCCATCGTTCAACACGAACAGCTACCACCCTCTGCTATGAACGTAACTCCACTTGGAACGGGACCATGTGCGCCCAAAGCACATGCGGGAGATCTGGATAATCGTTCTTCGTGCTCGGGGATAAGGGACCACTCAAAATGATCGACATCAATTCCGGCTCGCAAACCGTAAAAAGGAACCTGCTGTAGCTACCGTGACCTTGAACTGCAATAGGTAGTACCCCATTTCTTGTGTTAACCCGGTTTCTCTCAAAGCGCAGAATTCCAGAATTATTAACCGACAAGGAAAGCGCTTGAATCGTGCCGGATAAGCCAAGCAATACCAGTTCATCATGAAATTCTTGAATCAAATCATCAAGAAACTTTTGCCTCCAATTCGCCTTTAATTTGCCTCGCGGTACGAACTCGCTGGTCGGAGTGTTTTGAAAATTGACAGGAATTACGGGGGCGCTACATGTCTTATGATTAAGGTACTAATTAAAGTTTTCTAAATGTTAACGGCTTCGGACAAAGGACATAATCATCCACGTGATAACAGCTAATCATCTAATCACAGTAATTACTTTTCAGGGAGCGTGTCGTTGCCATTCATCATGAGCTTTTCTGGCATCTTCACTGCCAACAGTTTTCGATCTTTTTCGACATAATCCATTTGCATCAAATTTTCCATGCGTTTTTCTGCAACTCCTGGCGAATATTCGGCCTGAAATTGTTCCTATTAAAACTGTAATCGGGAAGGAATTTTTTTGGGGGGAGGGGGTGGAGTAGGGTTGCGGTCTAAGGATTCTCCAAACCTTTTCTTTTCCACAAAACCTTAGAAGATGAAGGTCAAACCTTGAAAAATTGCTGTTGTTTGTTCACATAATCCACCAGCGCTGCACCAGTCAGCTCCTCGGCTTGCTTTGGAATCGGACGGGCAGCAAATTCTTCTGAAAGTTCAGGGCATTACAAAATTTGGCTAAAACTGAATGCGCGGTTGACGCTATAATGATTGGAGAAAGAAGAAACTTACATGAAGAACAGAGAAAGGAAGAAAAAATAAAAATAAAGTAAGGAAAAACAAATAGAGAAGCGTTTTGGGTCGGTTATTCCTTACGCCAAACCAGCTGTTGGGGGTTTGATTTGGCGTCATTCTCAGAGAAGGGTGGTTCACCAAAAGGTGACCGCACTGAGACATTTTTGAGGAAGAAGTCAAAAAAGCACGCTCTAGCAGGCTCATCTTGTGGCGTGTCTGACGGCTGTGAATCAGATAGGAGGGAAGGATTATAGCGCTGCAGGGAAAATGATACAGATGACAAAAAGTGTGAGGATGAGAGTTAAATATGTTGTGGTTGCTCCCAAATGGCGGGTACAGGAGAGTGGGGGAGCAATAGTGTACCACTTGCACTTGCTGGAGGATACGTTGGCAAAATCGGAGAGTGACCACGCTTTTGTGGCAAACGTCCAACTGGCCATGAAATGACAGTTACCCAGTGAGCAGGCTAACCAATGCAAAACTGCCCCTCTGATACATGAGGGAGGGTAAACCACCGCAAAAACAGTACCAGAAAGGATGAGTGTGGGAACAGCAACGTGAAAACTCCTTACCTATGGTAAGCACGTCTGCCAGCGAGAAGGCGATGAAGAAAGTAAAGAAACCGAATTGTGACCTGACATAGAAATATTTGAAATGGTGATCAGTTAAGATGGACAATAACAACTAATGCACATGCTCTCCGTACGCTCCTCTGCCTGCCCCGGTCCTGAAAAGAAGGTGCTAACGTAGTTGAGGGGCCACGGGGCGGCGCGGCGCTCTGTCATCTGCGTTTCCAAGGCTCAGTCTGAGCTGCCATTGTATTTCGAACTGCGATGGTAACGGCCCACATGACTAAACCTTGAAGAGCGCAGACGAACAGACGCTGCGCGGCCGCGTGGCCCCCTCAACTACGTTAGCACCGAAACTAAACCGACTGCTCGCGCGTTTCCGGGTCGGCCCCACAGCTGAGGTCTATATTTGCACTCCTCTATGATCCAATCTTCATTAACAGAGAAACCATAGGAAAGGAATAACAACATAATACCCATCTTGGCGATTGATCTGCTACGCTACGACCAGCCCATGAATGATTTTGTGCACGAATACATTGACGACCACGCGTGTATTCCTTCTCTGACCGCGTGGGACTGGCGCGACTCTGCCAGCGCGCCGCTTCACCCCAAATGCATGGATTTCGAATGGTCATACGCAAAGTGGATGTTACCAAATCCAAATGATTTCAGCAATGTTCAATGCGTAGAAGCTATCTCAGCGTATAATAGCAGAACTTCGATCAGAAAATCCCATTGGGGCAAAAGAAAATTTACCAACTTTCTTAGCAACGGACGTTAAAAGCTTCTTTGACCTAGCCGTTTCCATGAAGCACATATCATCCATGAAATTCCATTTCAGTGCTTTCTCTCTCTTTTTGCTAAAGGCAGTGACCACGGTGGATGGAGGGCGGTACGCTTTCGATGATTTACGGGTTATAATTGGTGGAGTGGACCCCTCAGCGCGCTGGGGTGTGGTTGAGACCGCCTCTTAACGCCTTTCCACCAATGACATCCACTGACGTCATCAAAAACGTCCCTCCCCCTCCGGCCATCGTGATCACTGGTTTTAATATGAATAGCAAGAGAGCGTAGATTAAACCGAAACGGGAACTTTGTCAGACTTGTAAAATCTTGGCTAAACTGAAGCATGCGAGACCATTCCGTCAACTAATTCGTTGGCGATCATATTGAAGTGGGATCATTATAAAAGAATGATAAATATAAGAAAATTGCGAAGAAGTTGCACATGTGTCAAAGAGACGGTTTACCTCGTGGGCCGCATATGGTCCACACTGTCCCACGCATTTGCGAATTGTGACCCATATATGGCTCACGTAGTCGTCAATGTGGTAAAAGGTTTACCTGATCAACGTGGTAGAAGATGATCAAATTTTAATAACTTACCAACATGTTTGATCCTTGCCGCCTGAGCAGATCAGTAGCAGAAATTTCTATCTAACAGTTACTTGAACAGAAGAGGAATGAAGAAAATTGCGATCCTTTATCATTGACTAGGCCTTTATCACAAGCCACCATAGTAATAAAAAGTTATCTTGCACTGGAGTCACAATTTTTTACAAAATGAATTATGCCGAACACGCGATATTGGCGCCTATGCGAACACGCTATCTCAACATTCACTTAGGCGTTCTTGAAAGCAAAAAAGTTTTTCCAATGCTTCAAAACTCTGGCAATTGAAAGAACCACCACTAGCGTGCTCCCATGGCCTTTAAATGATCCTGGGGGAAGAGAACAGTGCATGGCGAGTTCCCTTTGGATGAAGCGCCATTATTGAAATCCATCACTCAACCTGTTGTGGAATTTCGTCGGTCATAGACAACTGATCAGTGGCACGATATCCAACGGATTCGAGGACCTTCAGAGACCGTGAGAGAATTCTACCAGGTGTCGATGAGCAGACATGTGGTGCGCCGTATTTCCATTTCTTGGAATGTGCTTATGAGCTCACGAGGGCGGAGCCTAAATCACAACGTTCAATACAAATTGTGGATTCAACAGAGCTGCAGCATACGTAGGGCTGAGACAAACTGTCGTTTCTTACCATTGCGCTGTCTTCTTTCGCCTTGTAGGCGCCCTTAAGAAATTGACCGAGATGATCACAGTTCGGTCCCACAAACTAGATTCATTCTTGCTCCATCCAGCAAGCCCTTCCACAGAAGACACAAAAATTC